GTTTCTCAGCCGTCGATTCGACTACGCTTATATCAATAACTAGAGATTTTTTAATGAAATTACAAATCGACGCTTTCACGACAATCGAGTAATCCATGTTGGCGTTACGTTTAGAATCTATCGACTCCTCCTTCGCTACCAAGTAAAAATTTGATAATTCATATTACCAATTTCGACGTTATTTTTTAATTCTCTTTTGTCGTCGCAATTCGTTGATTCTTGTCTTATAGCTATATTCCACTGACTATTTATTACTCTAATTGTTTATTTATTTATATAATAAGTTATCTAATTTTTTTGCTATTTTTTAGAGCTACATTTATAAATTTTCCATTTCTGGGTATTTTTGTAACTATAATACGCTCGATGAATATTTACAAAAAACAACGATGTTATTCCATATTATGTTGTATGCTACCATTGTCCTGGTGTATTTTTATACGGACGATATTTTATATCTTTCTTATTAAAGAAAGCGAATCCTGGAATTCAAACGGTTTTATTGGCCATTATTATGATAAAATATTTTTGGTACTTTTAATTTACCGCTACACGAATTACATAGATATTTTATTACAGTTGATTCCATTAATAATGATGTGTTGTATGTTGTTAGTATTTTAAGCAATAATACATTGATGATGTTAAATGGCAATTTATTGTAATTTGACTTTATTTACCAAAGTGAGGTACTATTTGAACGATACCAAAATCATTACTCTAACTATTGTCGCAAGTATATTAAGAAAATTGCATTCTCTGATTATTAATATGAAAATTTATGACAATTCGAGGAAATATTTTGTACGCAACTGTAATTGTAAGGTGAATTGTTTCAAGGGGGATGAAATTTTATTGAAAAACGTAGCTTTAGCGAGCTTAGCATAAATATTTTCTTATAATGTCATCATCGACAAATATAGGAGCAAAGTCTCGATACTCAATTCACACCATTATTCTATGATTTACAGGAATATTCAAGCTGCGAAGATCCAATCATGAAAGTAAGTGATATCCGTTCTATTGGGAATAGCCGTATCTCCTTCTTACTACCAGACTTCTTAGCGGACATCTAAGAGTTGACACTCATGATTTCAAAAAATATCCATTTTCGTCAAAAGCATCTCAAAGAATTGTAAATGTATAGAAATCCTATCGAGAAGATTGGAAAATATAATTTACTATAAACTAAATTATCTAAAACTCTTTGATATATATATATATATATATATATATATGATTAAATTGCTCGATGCGTCAATAACGGAATTATCGAGCGAAGTGTTTCCTGCTCAAGATTGATTTCGAAAACCAAGTTAAGCCGAACGTGCGATGGGCGGTCGGGGGCTGCAATAGCAGTGGGGCTTCAGTTCTTAGTAAATATGGTTTCCTTCCGAAGAGCAGTGACATATTGGTGGGTGCAGTCCTCGCCAAGCTGTACCGACACTTTACTTCTTGTCGACTCGAGCCAGTTTCCAAGTGACTTTAGCGAAATAAATACTCTTCGCGTCTTACACGTAGCTGCTTTTCAACTCTTATTATTATTTCATTGATTATATGCCGAAAATATTAAGAATATTCCTATAAGAATACTTCCTTTATTGATATAATTATCCGCTTGTAAGTGCTAATCATTCATCATCTCTTAAAATTACTTCCCGATATTTCTTTCGTTTGTGTAAACATTGCAGTTTCAATAAAGAATCAATCGATCCTTTTTTTCTTGTTTTTTTTTTTTTTTTTTTTTTGTCGAGAGATTTGCATTTTTCATTGAATTTGCCTTTCGTAGGGAATCAACTTATTGGCATAAAAATATCGAACATCTCGGTATTCTATGTACTAAAATTCGTTTCTTTTAAAAATTTCAAGCTATCGCTTATAAGCTTTGCGTCTAAACTTTTCCATGATCTTTCAAGATCCATGCGATATCGCTAGCTCAAGTGGTAAGTGTTGATAAAGTGATAATTGTCATTTAATCTTTTATTGACTTTACATTACATGCAATAATATAGGCAAATGTGCATTCGTATTCGCATATCATTTAAGAACGTTAAATATGAAGAGATACGCGTAAGGAGGGACAGAGAAAAGTATAATTATTGGAAATTGACCGTGATCGCTATCGGGCATACGAACGGGTATATCTTTGCTTGTGAGATAAACAAAGACAAGACTCGCGCGATGCTCATTTAAACTCAGGTACTTTTGTTAAAGAAAGTTTTTCACTGACAAGGCAGGAGTTTAAGGTGGCAAAGCCATTTATCAAAGCAACCGCTCATCGGCCAAGCCACCGCGCACGGCTGGAGCCCTCGTGAAATTAGTAAAAGTGAAAAGTACAAAGGCACACTTAGGGGAGCAGCCGATGTGAGCTCCAACTCAAAAGCATCCCTTATCGCGCGACAATAAAGAAGCTTATGGTAGACTCTTACCCTCCTTCTGAATTTCCTCCACCGATTCGTCTTCTGGCTTTTGATGCGAGGTATTAACGGCCTTTATCGATAATAAAGAAATTTTATATAAAGCGACATTTACGACGATGCAAATGATAAAACAACGTTATTTCATCTAGATCGATTATGATTAATTAGCGTTTGTTCGAAAATGGGAAGGCATATTTTTTCCTTTCCTGGCTTTACCAATCACTGATGCATTAGTTAAAATATAAATATAACATCGGTGAGATGGGAAATCTTAATTATTATCCACTTTATTTAGATTTGAATACAGTGATAATCTGACTTGAAACAAGTTATATGATTTCATTAAAATTGAACGATACATTAAATGTCGTTACGTTCTTTAAAAAGAAATAAATGTATTGAAAATGCGTTGTTATAGCTGTCTACGATATGAAGCAAATGCCAATATAATATAGTGTAAACTTTATTAGATTGCATAATATATAATAAATTAAAAATGTGTTTAAAAATATAAAAAATATTTATTTCATTTTTATTTCTTGCTTCTGATTCTTAATAATTTTTAGAATATTTTACAGAATAAGTTTGAGCTAGTTCAATTTGATTTAACAATTGTATAGCACAACAGATAAAGTAATGACAAGCGTATAATTGTAACTAGAACGGATTTAGAAAGAATTTTAATTAATAACTTTGAAAGTTTAATTATTAATTAATCTTTAATACCTCAGGACATATAATTCCGTAACGAAATAAATGGATTTTATCGTTGGAGAAATATTTAGTTATTACGAGTGAATGTACATTTTGAGTATAAGTATTTTATCATTTACATATAGGCATCTCATATAGATAATGATGACTTATTTTATGTTTCAGCTATTTTGAAATCGCTTTACATTAAATAAAGATTAGAAATGAGCAAACTGATAGGCATCGATAGTAAACTGTATAACGCATGTCCTGTCAACATCAGTTCAACATTCTTGCATTCCTTCTCTTCTTCATATAATGCACTGCAGAACCATTTATTCCAATAGGTGAAAGGGAATAAATACAATGAGAAGGAAAATAAGTAAGAGAATGAAAGAAGGAAAAAAGAAAAAAATTAAATAAAAAGCGCGCAGTCCGTATGGCAGTCGCAGTGGAGGCTGTGGTAGAGAGAAACGAAGCACGGCAAAAGGGATAAAACAGATGAGAATCCGAAAAGCTAGCGAGAGAGATGAAAAGAGAGACAGAATGAGGAGAGCATGGCGTGGGTGAGCGAGAGTCAGAAAGAACGAGCATCCAGAGCTCGAAAGGGGGATGAAAGAGGAAGAACGCTGAGGGCTGAAAGAGGGTTACGCGTCGGGGGATTGGGAGAGGGAGGACCTGGCAGGAGTGCGACACCTCGGCGCCAAACTCACCCTCCTGAGAGACTCTGCAGACTCACCTCTCTCTCTCCCTCTCTCCCTCCCTCTCTCTCTCTCTCTCTCTCTCTCTCTCTCTCTCTCTCTCTCTCATCCAATCGACCTCGCTTCTCTCTTTCCTTCAGCTCAGTGCCAGCAGCCCACCCACCGGGTTACCCCATTCCATTTTCTACAAACCCCCAGTTGGCTATCTGCGCCAATGCTACCACTGTACATTCGCCTTTACCTAAAATCTCCTCTTCGTTCATCCAACAGCAGTAACAGCAGTAGCAACAGCAACAGCAACAGCAACAGCAGCAGCATCAGCAACAGTAATAGCAACAGCAGCAGCAGCAGCATCATCCGACAACTTGTACGTAGCGAATGAGCTCGGTTGGGGGTCAAAGGGGAGTCAAGGACGGGAGGCGAAAGGCAAGAGGAATAGTGAGTCAAAATGCGCGCGTGAGAGAGAGAGAGAGAGAGAGAGAGAGAGAGAGAGAGAGAGAGAGAACGAGAAAACCTCGAGCTATCTCCGAAATGATCCCCTATATTCTAGTGGCATGGTTGTTATATCCTTGGGGGTCGACTCCAGTGTGGCTCTCCTCGCTCATTCGCCCCCGCATACAGAGATCCACTGAAACGAGAAAATAAGAGATTCCCAAGCGCTCGCTTTAGCCTCTCGATGCAACTTACAAATTAGGAGCTGCGAATCGCAAGCTAACTCCACTATTGACGCTGCATTCTCGTTTCTTCGGGGATGGCGCCACCCTTCTCCCGCTGTACCGACACGAGTCCTAACTCCGAGTCGAGTCCGTGAAATCCCAACTATCGTGAGATGAACGAATGATTTTGCCATGACGGGCGAATGAGAAATCGAACGTAACTAATCCACTGAGTTGAATGTGCAAATGATACTCAATGGAGTTGCGGTTTGGCTTAGCCTTACGGGGAAGCTTAGCGTCGATAATATGGTCGTTGTGTAAGCACCGAGAATGAAAGGAGATGCAATCGATTCGCTTGTTGATTCACCGACTTTGGGCTCTCGGCAACGTCTTTGTTATTAACGACCATTTGGCCTCTGGCATTGCAGATTTTTCCATTAGATTATTCATGCCTTCATTTTGTCGATCGAACGAGTGGACGTGGATGGAAAATGGTAAGCAAATAGAAATAACAAAGCCACTTATCGCATTACTTCCATGTATTTACTTCTTTAGCTTCAAGCACAGTTCTTTAAATATATCGTCATATATTATAATCAATGGTACGTCACTGGAAAGAGCGGTCATTACATTACATTACATTACATTACATTACATTACATTACATTACATTACATTACATTACTTTACGACATAATTACTACGTCAGCTAGAAATCTGCTCGATCACAAACCCCACCCTTAGCTCGCCAATCAACATGCTAAATTACAAGTGCGCTCGCCGCCGTGCCGAATGCTATGACTCTTCTTATCGCAGAATTAGTTAGGCTTTTCCTCATTTCCTATATTACAATGGTTATTTACAAGAGAGTCGATAGTGAAGCTACATCGGGCCGGTGTCGTAGGCGGCGGCGGCGCCGTTCCTCAGGAGTCTCCGCTAGTGGCACCCTCGGGGGTACCAGAGCTGGAGGCAGATATCGGACTGGGACCTGCGGGGCTTACGGTTGGGGGCGGACGCAAACGTTCCGTCAGGGCCAGCATAACTTGACAGTGGAGCTGTTGGATCGTGGCCAAAAGGTTGAGGTTTGTGTCAATGAGACCCGCGGCCGGTGAGAAACCGCGCTCGTCCTCGCTGTCACTGTCACTGCTGCTCTCATCCTCGGTCGTCTCCTTCCTTATTTCGGAGCATAACGGCTGGTGCTGTTGCTGTTGCTGCTGCTGCAACTGCTGCTGTCGTCGTCGTTGTTGTTGTTGCTGCTGCTGATGCTGCTGCTGCTGCTGATGCTGCTGCTGCTGCTGCTGCTGTTGTTGTTGCTGTTGTTGCTGTTGCTGTTGATGCGGCTGTTGCTGGTATTGAATTTTCGGGTACGAGGTGCTGATAGGTAGACTATAGTCGATTGGCGCGCATTTGGATTCGACGCCAGCGGGACTCCAGGGACGCGGTACATTAGCCACGGACCGGGGCGAAGGCGTCGAGCTGCAGCTTCTATCTTCCGGTAGTAGCCGTAATTGTCGCGAGCTAGTCTCCGCGCTCATCGACGACGTCATAGTGACGTTGGTCGTCGTTGCAATCGGGCATTCGGGATCGGGGACGCGCGGCAAGCCCGTGGGCGCCGGCGAGGCCGCTGCTGGTGGCGGTGGTGGCGGTGGCGGCCTCCTCGCAATCGGGTCCTTCCTCAGCAAGTTCATAATGCTAAGGGGATTATACTTCTCGTCCTTAAGCTTGGAGTTCGCGACGTTCGAGTCGGATTTTGGTAAGCCACTGGCGTTGGCCGTTGACGTTGCGATATTTGGTTGTTGTGCGAGCTGCTGCGCGGGTTGCTGCGAGGGTTGCTGCGTGGATTGCTGCGTGGATTGCTGCGTGGATTGCTGCGAGGATTGTTGCGGGGGTTGCTGCGAGGATTGCTGACAACCGACGACGGGGCTCTCGCTCTCCGGGGCATGACTAGCCTCTCGCGGACGCTCGGACCCGACCCTCGTCGACGCAGTGCAGCTGGAGAGTGTCGTGGCCGGTTTGGGGCTGGGTGGTGCGCCCGTGGGAGAGCTCGTCGTCGTTGTTGTAGTCGTCGTCGGCACCGTTGTCGTAACCATTGGCGTGACGGGCGTCGAGGCAGTCGTGAGGCTCGTGGGACTGGGTGTCCGGGGTCGACGCTGGCACTCGGTGCAGCCTAAGAGGAATCGGGTGACAGCCTCGCGCGGCAGAAACGCGTACGTCTCGGTGATCTGAAATCATGCGAACATCTTGTACGACTGTCTAAGATTCTTACTCCTATGGTAATAGCATCGAGGGCTTTCAGTGTAAGTTAATGCGCGAGGCATAATTAACATTCTTGGTACGGTACGGTATCGTCCACTCGAGAGTAATTGGTAAAGAGCGAATGGGCGGGGAGAAGAGCGCGCGAGCACGAGAGAGAGAGAGAGAGAGCGAGAGAGTGAGACGATGGGCGCGCGCGGCCGTACGAAGGGGAGAACCGATGAAAGTAGATAAAGTTCAGGATGAGGGAATAGAAGGAGGAGAATAGATGACGTGAATCGAAGAGAAGTTGCGAGCATGCAAGACCGTTTTGTTTAAGCCCGTGACTAGGCTCGTTCAGAAACTATGTGTACTTTCCTAAAATCATTACTACGGGGTGTCTCATTCGACCTATAAAACTGTATCAAAATAAAAAATTACTCCATTACCGTTTAATTATTATTACAGGAATATATTATATTTGCAGACTATTGTATTTTTTATATCGAGTTCATATTAAAAAATTATATAAAATTTTCAATACAATAAAATACCGATAAATATTTGTTAGCTTCTCGGTTAAAGAACTGTCTACGTAAAAAATAAAATGAGTGTGCAATTACCGACAATATTACTCATATTGTGGATAAAGGTGTTTACTACATTTCAGAGACAATACTTTCCCCCCTCCCCCCTACCCCCCCCCCTTTTCAATTGAATAATATGGAGAATAAATCGAATAAATTGTAGATAATGTTAACATCCTTATAAAACTTTAGGTATCAAGCAATTGCAATGTACTTGTAATCATTTTGGAAATTTGATAAACGAAACATCGAGCCTTTCAAATGCAGATTTTGATTTGCAATATGGGGACGATTGGTAGAGTAGACGTTATTACGCACATATAGGACTTGAAAGAAGAAGGAACGCGGCAAGATTCATCGGGGTGTATTCTCGAGGGATATTCGACTAGATGAATTGCACATCCGTGTAACGCCGACTTAACGTAAAACATTTTCAGTGCTGTGTGTTCCGCGCCCGCGCGTTCGAGTATGCGAGTAAGCTGGCGATGTGCAACAAGTGTCCCGAGGTTTTGAATCACAAGCAGATCTTGTCGAGCTAGCTAAAAACAAAGAGAGAAATCGAGTGACAGAGACGGAGAGAATGAAAAGAATAAGGAAAGCAAGAGAGATGAAGATTGAGATACAGCGGTCGAGAGGCGGAGTAAACGGCTAATTGAAGAAAATGAAATCATGGGAATGAATAGTTCAGTGAGGATAAACCGATCCACGAATGTCCTTTCAATTGTTAATCTACCTATAGGCTGTCTATGTTTATGGCTTAATAAAATCGTTACATAATTCATAAGATAATGAACTTTACAAGAGCGAAATAATAATATTAATGATAATAATAATAACAACAACAGCAGCAGCAGCAGCAGCAGCAGCAGCAGCAGCAACAGCAGCAATTATTGTTATTATTAGAAAAACCATAATTGAAATAGAGACTTACGGTTCTATAAGTTCGTTTCTGACCAGCGTGTTTTCCAGGTCGACCTTCAAGATCAACGTGAACGGCGTGAATAATATCAAAAAAGTTTTCGACTATGGCAACCTTCTTATACACTCTTCCGGTCGATACGGTGCCCTCTGCTCCATTAAGAGTCTGAAATGCAAAAACGATAAGAAGCACGATTAGTACATTTAAAGTTTTATGTTTGTTAAATAAAATGTGCTTAGACAATAACATTGTAATTATCCTTCGTGTAGTGGCAGTGGGCAAAAACACGGCGCTAGTCCGGCTTAAGTCTCAACTTGACAAGGGTGGATAAGCCAAATACGAGGATAAGTTTACTTATCGATATGATTACTATCGATAAGCACTTACATTATCGACTTCAGTTTATAGATATAAGATCCCTGCATTACCGATTACGGAAAACATTTTTCTACGCGTGCGTAGCAGCCGTGGCTACTAAGCGCGTGATTCAGAGCGGCGCATGATAACTACAAGCTGTCGATAAGGTCGTTTTCACTGTTGCCGTAACCTGTAGTTTTATAACTTCACACTAGGAAATACTGCCTATTCATTAATCTACTTGTTTTGAAGCTCACGAGCGCCAATAATGAACGACGAGATTGCGATTAATTACGGATTTTGTCAGAAATTTTCACAAGTATTTCCTAATGGACGGCGATAATAGGCTAAAATCGCTTGAAGCCAAATAAATTCATTCAAAAATTAACATATTCGTAGAAAAATGAAGAGAGAGGGCAGTACTAATGCGGCATTTACGTCCTTATGTAAACGCGCGCTCCAATAAAGTCGTATGAAAAGTGCATTGAAAATGACGTTAAAGCGGCAACTTTACGATTATGATAGAAGCAAATGTCAATGATCGATTTCTGAAATTTCTTTAAATCCACAAATAATTCAAATTTTTCCTATAGCGGGGGGGGGGGGGTGTGCAAAGAGAGGGGATAGGCTTTTGGCTCGACGATTCGGTTTTCTTAGCGCATGCGCTATATTATTGTATTTCCCTGTAAACACCTGTTGAAGAACGAAATTGAATTCACAGCAGGAAGGAGGATAAAGAGGGTGGACGCTTGCTCTTTGATTAGTGAATTGTGGTCAAGTAGCAGAACGGCGCCGATTTTCTATATGGCGAGGGACATTGCTTCCATTAATAGCAAACTCCATCGCTCAATCGCATATCCTCTATCTCCCACGTTCGATCCTTTCACTCCCATCCGTCCACCCCTTACCGTTTATCTATATTCTTATTTCCTTGGGTACCTCCTGTCTATCGCCTCGTGTCCCCGGCATTATATCATTAGCTAGCGCGAAGATAAATTCATTTAGCTCGCTCGTGTGGGCCAAAAGCTCACGCTTCGCTGTCGCTCGCACTCAAGGTACGTGGCATCGTCGATTGATGACGAAAGCCACCGAGGCCGGTTTTTGTTTTGCGTCGCGCGACTCAAAGCGAATCGCCACGAAGCCTCGGCATGACATTCGATTCGAGATTTTCCACGGGAGCGGGTCTTTTTGCCGTTGCACGACTAACGGTAAGTGCGTTAAGAGCAACGGGAGGAGCCGACGTCGTATGACTCGCTCCCGAGGGCCGTGTGTGGCGGACGCGAGGGAATTTTAAAAGTTTCGTAAATAAGGGCTGGGGAAAAAAAAATGGAAAATCGATAGTCGGCTCTTTGTCCCGCGTGAGTGCGAGTGTGTCGTGGCAGCGCGGGCGCGGGTGCGGGCGTGGGAAACGGGCGGGGGGGGGGGGGGG